GGCTCATCATGGTCATCGTGGTTTGGACGCCTGCAATTTTACTTCGAGGCTAACAACATCACTGATGCAGCAATGAAGAGGGCCAACCTGTTAACGCTGTGTGGGGAGCAGACATACGACACAGTCTGTGCCCTGATTCAGCCACGCACTCCAGCAGCCGTTGACTACGACGACATCGTAGCAGCGCTACAAGAGCACTATGACCCAAGGCCATCGGAGGTCTACTGTCGAGCCCGCTTCCAACGACGAGACCAACTGGAAGGCGAAAAAGTGGCCGAATACGTAGCGGCTCTCAAAAAGCTCGCTGCTGACTGCAATTTCGGGACGTTGACCGCAACAGCTGCAGCTACTGCGCAGGAGGGAGGATCGACTGCCACACCTGCTAACACCACTATGCTCCCCTTGGACGTTATGTTGCGTGACCGTTTTGTGTGCTGGACTGCGTGACGTAGGCCTACAACAACGCCTGTTCACGGAGACGGGTCTCACCTTCTCCAAAGCCACGCAGGAGGGAGGATCGACTGCCACACCTGCTAACACCACTATGCTCCCCTTGCTAGTCGTCCACGGTTCTGGATCAAGCCTTATAGGACGAAATTGGTTCGACCCCCTTGGAGTGGCCATTGGCGGAGTTCACCACACACTCAGTTATCCGTCAGTGGAGCAGCTTCAAGATAAGTACAAAGCGGTTTTCTCCGAAGAAATACGAGGGAACAACGGACCTCCAGTCACACTGGAGCTGCGGGAAGATGCGACGCCGAAATTTTTGAAAGCTAGGTCGGTGCCTTTCGCCCTACGAACGTCAGTCGAGAACGAGCTTGACCGACTGCAGGAACAAGGGATCATCGAACCGACGCAACATTCGGAATGGGCGACACCACTCGTTGTCGTTCGAAAGAAGAACGGTACCCTACGCCTCTGCGGAGACTACCGGAGCACTGTCAACCTGGTGACAAAAGCATCTTCCTACCCACTGCCGACACCGGAAGAGGTTTTTAGCACGCTTCGTGGTGGAAAAATCTTCAGCCCCTTGGACTTGACACAAGCCTATCAGCAGCTGAAGGTGAGCGAATCAACGTCTGAACTGCTCACAATAAACACTATTAAGGGTCTTTACAAAGTTAAAAGGCTACCATTCGGAATATCTGCAGCGCCAGCAATCTAAGGAAAGAGGAGATGTTGTGTTCCAAGCACCCCTGTGTCTAGAGCGAGCCTTTGAACCCGCGAAGGACCGGTTGCTGAAACTGCTTCCAGATGTTGACTCCTCCCCTTCCCCCGCTCGGCGGAAACGAGCCACCGTCGTTTCCCCCGGCAGTTCGGCCGCGGCCTACATCCGAATAGGAATAAACTTGTTTTTAACCGTTCGAGGCTGTCTGAGCTTTTTGGACTACGGCGACCAACGCGTACGTCTATGGGCCGACGACAACACCGGACATAACACTGTGTTTCACAGAACAGCCATTATGGCAGCCACTTAAAGCAAACTTGCAAAGCTTTGACAACTTCAGTGGTATGGAAAACGTTACTGTAATCACAAAACGTTGCCCTATTCTCTTGAAGAGTTTGTGGGACAGATCATGCATGTATAGAAGTACAGTGAGAAATCGCTAATTCGAACTCAAAGAGGATGAAATTGTTTGAATTAAGTGGAATTCGAATTAGTGGGTGCGTGATAGAATGAACACACATCATGCCACACTGCACGCACAGAACCTATATGAGCCAGCGCTATACTCGTTATCACTGATTAGGTACTACTACATGTTTTGAGGCAGGTGATATTGTAAATTATGTTAATGAATTTCTAACAGCAAATATAACTAATTGATCCTGTCAGTGATATGCCATAAACAAGCACCAGCAAAAAGGTTGTGCAGTTCATGCTTGGCTATAATCTATTCAAAAACTTTCTTTAAAGTCTGTTTCAGTTTAATGTGTAAAAATGTGTATTATAAACCAATTAAAATATGCACTCGTGCCCCCACGCTGCTAAAAATGTGCTTTTTCAATCTCAAAGAGCGACATATTAAATGCCGCTTACTCCTCCAAAGCAAGGTTTATCGGCTCCAAGATTGAAATTTTGCTACTCCAAAAATTGCTCCCAATTCAGTCTCGGTCGTCTCACCCCTGTAGTATGCAAGTGATAACATGTAAAATATGTTACGTTTTAAAGTTTGCTATAGTACTTGGAGCATATCCCTTTTAATTGATTGATTGATTTGATTGATACGTGGGGTTTAACGTCCCAAAACCACCATATGATTATGAGAGACGCCGTAGTGGAGGTCTCCGGAAATTTCGACCACCTGGGGTTCTTTAACGTGCGCCCAAATCTGAGCACACGGGCCTACAACATTTCCGCCTCCATCGGAAACGCAGCCGCCGCAGCCGGGATTTGATCCCGCGACCTGCGGGTCAGCAGCCGAGTACCTTAGCCACTTAGACCACCGCGGCGGGGCAGCATATCTCTTTTAGTCCGGAATTCTTCGTAGGGTAGAAAAAAATGTTTTTTATGTTCATTTATATCTAAGAGTCTTTTGAAAAGCATGGAAAACACTTTCATGGACCTTGAGTACAATGGTGTTCACAGTCAAACCATGTCCAGTATACTGGACACTAGCATTACTTTGTTGCACTTATACACGTTCTGCTATCTTCCTTACTTTTGGTCCAGTCAAAAGGTTAATCGTCTGAAAAAACACGAAAACTGTTTGTCTGCGTCCAAGACGAAGAAAAAAATTTATCATGGTTGACAGTCGCACACGAAGTCATTAAAGTAAAAAACCAAGGTTGAAGCGCGCTTAGTGTCCACAAGCCAGCTTCTTCTGACGCCTCGTGCTCCATGCTCGTGGTGGAATTCCCAGGATGCTCCCGTTTCATTTTTGATGGCAAGGCTTCAAGTTTGTTGCCCGACGCCTACTCGTAGTTTTCTTTTTTCTTTTCTGCATGTTTGGCATGATATTATCTAATTGCATCCTTGTGTCCAGTGTACTGGACACAAAACTATTTTCGCAATCCAAGCAAGCTCCTGATTAAAAAAGCTACCTTTTTGCATCATTGTTTTAAAAGGACATCAGTCAGCTTGCACGATTTAAATTATTTTAATTGCACGGTGAGAGCTCCTAGAATAGTTGTGCATTTTTAACCACACCGTGCGCACGCTTTTTTTCATGGATGACGCCAATATTCAAAGGTGCCCCTATAACAGAGTGGCGCTGAGAAAGAAAAAACATTTAAAATTATATCGCTTGCCTCCTATTGTAGCTGCAAATATGGTTTCGTCTTGGATTGTGGCTCTGCTTGCGTTTCTGCACCACCTTATTTGATTTCCAGTACACTGGTCGCTGGGACGGAAAGGGGTATAAGACGGCATAACAAAGTTTTAAACTTGAAAACTAAATCGGTATCTTCATTTTGATCACCGTTATATATTTACCCTTAAAGGTCCTTTTCAGGGTATTATATCAAGGCGGGGCAAAAGCATCAATAACAGAATACCATTATGATACAGATCATTATAGTACAGGTCATTATAATACAAAGATAAGCAAATGAGGGGACAAAAAAATAAAGATGTGAAAAACTGCAGCATATACATGATTAGAATTTGAAAAGCAAAATAGTCGAATCTCATTATTTCGAACACACTTAATTTGAACTTCCGGTTCATTCAAACTCACGGATGAGGTCCCGTCAAAGCGATGTGTATTTCAATAAGCAAAAACGCCTGGTAATTCGAATTCACAAGCACTGCGACGGTTAGTTTGAACATACCGCGCTCCGAAAATGCTCTCAGCACCCCGCCCAATCTCGCGGTGGCACCTCCGACACCTCAACGCTGCGCGTGAAGGAAAGGAAAGACTGCGATGGAATGTTTGCGCTCTCTCAAATGCCGATCTGCAAAGCGCCTGCTGCCACGCTTCTTCCTTTTTCACCCCTGCCACCGTAAAGACCCTTTTCCTTCCAATACCGCGCGCAAGGAGACAGAGGAAAAAAAAAAAGAGAGAAGAGAAAAGCTGTTGCGGAGTGTGGCTCTCTCTCAGGTGCCGGTGCCATGCTTCTCCCTTTCCCGTCCCTGCCACGTAACCCTTCTACTTTCAATGACGCGCGCCACGAGAGCAAAAAAAAAAAATGCCGATCTGCTTTTTTTCGCGTGGAGACTCTCTTTTTTTCTCGTCACGTGCTGACCATGCTGGACTTCGCCGCTGCGGGCAGTAGCGGAGATGCAGTCATTGGTGTCGTCGTCTTTAGAGTGTGTCGGTGCTGGACAATGCTGCATGCAACTTCTCTTGCCAGGAGAATGCTGAAGCCGAAGCAGACATGCTTTGCAAGCTGGGTGCGAAATTGATTGACTCGCTGCAAGGCAAACGTGTGCAGACGTGCATCACCAATTACTTCAATTCAATAACTATAAGTCTTCTGAAACTTCCCCCTCATGCGATTGCTCAATGCACATGCGCCACTGCATAGGAAGCCCTCCGTTTACTTAGCTTTCATTAATTCGAACTTATTTTAATTCGAACAAATTTTCGGGCCCTTTCGAGTTCGAATTATCAAGATTCGACTGCATAACAACAGTGAAACGAGAAGAAAAAAAAATTGAGAGAAATGCTGTGCACATTTCTGCAAAAAAAAAAAAAAAAGCAAAATTATGAGTCGTGTTGAGAACACATAGACGGTGGCCAAGCATGTTTATGTACATTTTTTTGCATAAAAACACCTGTATTTATGACAGCAGTAATATGTGTGACCCCTAAAAATGTGTTGCCACGGCCTGAGTGTGCTGAGTCTACCCATTAGGCTGTGGGTTGTGGTGCTACTGCCGCTAAGGGAACGTTATCGAGTGGTATGCATAATTGACTCTCAGGTTCTTTGTTAAGCTTATCGTGTTCCTCCAGTTCCTTGTACTCATGTTGAAATTGAGTGATAAGAGTTGAGGCACAGCATTTGCACTGCGCTGACGATAGCATTAGCAGTGTTCATAGTCACATGTGATGCAGGTGTGGAACAGTCACCTGATGATGGATGCATACATGGCAAAGGCATACGTCGATGCCCCACTGGGCGTCGAGCGACAGACGCTGGAAGTGCCACTTGTGGGACATCGGAACCGGCCGGCCAGCGGAACCGATGGCAGCTTGGGAACTCTGTTTGTCGAGGTCACTACCACTGACGACTTGCTTGGTGTCTGAGCCAGTGAAACTGTATGTGCTTCCATCCCTGCAGCTAGGGTTGAAACAGCTCAACAAAGGTGCTTATGGCCAAAGGTTACATGTTAATCGGGTGCGTGCCCATGAAATCGAATCGTTGGCATCTTTCGTGCAGTGGCACCACTATAGTGCATTGTTCCTGTAGTGAAAACGTGATTAAAGTGTTTATTGTGAAAGTGTACAAACACTACAGAGTATGTCTCATACTATGAGTAGGGCTCTGTGTTTTTGGAATAATGTGAAGAAATACGGTAAACACTCGTCAATAAAGGTTTTTATCATTCATATTTATACGATAAACTTCGATATTAAAGGAGCATTTTCAAAGCTGAGACTCATCATTTGAATGCAGGAAACATCCATCAGCAGCATCAACATCATGATGTAAGGTTGCGTCTGTTAAAGCAGGCTTTAAGGTAGAAACTGACATGGGAGTTACGTATAAAAGTATTTGTGCATATGTGCTCGTGCGTTCAAGCCATTGAGACATATAAATACAGGTAGTGTGTTTGCATATTTTTGGGTTTATATATAATTTCGTAGAAGGTTTTGCAGGAATGAGAATAACGATATTAATAAGTATTATATTTTTCATCAAGAAAATGAGAGAGGACAAGCAGCTTGCCTCCAACAGCACACTTCGGCAAGTTCACAGCAGTGCAGCCTAGTGTTACAAGAGGGCAGTGCATGCGGCCTTATAATAGATTAAGTAAAAAGCATTAATAATAATAATAACAATAATAATATCTGGAGTTTTACGTCCCAAAACTACCATATGATTATAAGAGATGCTGTAGAGGAGGGCTCTGGAAATTCTGAGCACCTGGTGTTTTTTTAATGTGCGCTGACGTTGCACGGTGCACAGGCCTCGACCATTTCTCCTCCCCGAAAATGAGACCACCGTGGACGGAATCGAACCTGTGACCTTCGTGTCGCCAGCAGTGCACCGTAACCACTGATCCACCGTGGTGGACTAAGTAAAAAGCAAGTGAAAAAAAAAATGATGGATGGAAAAACTGGTTTATCAGCTCTATCACAACACGTCTTTATTGGATATAAAATTAAGAGCACATTGAACAACTTATAATGCCAAAATAAACACCTCATTTCAGATAAATGTTGATAAATGCCAAATTTTCTCCCCAGAAATAAACTCTAAAAACACGGAACCCTAACTATGAGCCATGGTAACGTAGTGACCGTGGTGTTGCAGAACTGAGAAACTTGGTTTTACACTGAGAAACCTGTTGTACAATTTTGTCAATACCCAGCTATTCACACCACCTTCAAAAGTTGCTCAACCTTAGATGTGTACGCCTGTTTTCTCTTTTTACTGCTCTGCACACACCATTTTCACTTCTCTCACATTTAGTCTAGTATTTTCATTTTGCAGGACTGTGTGGTATCTCCAGCTCAAGAAACAAACGAAGCAGTAGATCAGCGTAATGGCATTTATTTGCACCTTTATTAAGTAGTGATACATCCACTTGCCAAATCATATGGCTTTGAATAGCATGCCAGTGTAATATGTTGCAAAATAGGTGATGTTTTGATTCAGCCCACCAGGATAGCAAGCGAGCAAAGTTTGTTCTAGCCAGAAAGCGAAGCCTATGCCTTTACAGCTAATGTCTTGTGAATGTATTCGGTGGAAAGGGGAGGAGTCAATAGGATTGTGTCTGTGGAGCTCCCCTTATTGCACGCGAAAAAGCCTATCGCAGGCCACTCTCTCCAAACTCAGAGAGAGGGAAATGCACTCGTCGTGGGACCGGGTATCAATAAATAGATGGATGTGCCCTTTATACCAAGGTGGGGACATGCATGCCATCAGGCTCAACAAAAAAAAACTTTTTTCTCTTTACTTATATATTTTGACCTTAATGCTTTTATTACTTCAATTGAACATTTCAAACATCTTCCTTCCTTAGGTAATGTAGAATGTAGTCGAGGAGAAGGAAATTAACTGGCGCTGTCGACAGGATCCAAAACAGCGAGCGTCTTGACGCTACTTCTTGCAGTGCACCAGCAGGTACCAAAAGCGGTGAGCGTATCGTCAGCTTCCCGGACTTCAGCGCCTTTCTCGCTACGGGCTCTCCACTCCACGTCGTCTGCGCCAGTTAATTTTCTTCTCCTCGACTAGCTTCTACACTAGCTAAGGAAGAAAGATGTTTGAGGTTCGGAACGGGTCCCCTCGATGGCTCGAGTGCTCGGGGGCAGCGCGAAGGAAGAGCCGTAGTCCGGTGAAGAGACGCTTTATTGCAGCTTGAGGCATCTGCCCAAGTCGAAGCCTGAACCTCCGCTCTTATTTGACATTCAAGCACCCTCTTTTCAACCCTCAGTTGAACAAAAGGTCTCTACAAAAGCCAATCACACGTGTGGGCTCGCATTGCCACAGCCAATCGCAAGAACACTTTCATAACAAGCACTGCATTGGTAAAAATCACGTTACGAAATACAACACGAGAGGGGGTAGGTTCTCCGGGTGTCACACTCTCTCCCATGCCAGGCCTTGCATCGGCCGACCTTCGTCGGTAGCCGCTCTCACGCTCAGGCTCAATCAGCTTTCTCACTAATGTTGCTTCGTAGAAGCCTCCCTAAGCACGGAGATTGCATCGTCTGGCCCTGTGCGCTGACCAGGTGTGCATGCGACAGCGAGGCGCCCCGCCATTGTAACACTCGGTAATGACGTGTAGCAGGGGAGGATAAGCTAGTCTCCGTGCCGCCACCACGTCGCAGTCAGCCCAGTGGTCGGGTCCCTGCGACATTCTCAATGGCACACGTACTCAGATGGCCGCGCTTGACGTGAATCTTGCCAGACTCGCTTCCGAGTAAGCTTTCTCCTCGTCCCAGACAGGGGCGACCTTGACGGCTCCGCTCGTGAACCGTGTGCACGAAGGAGTCTCCTTTCTTTCCCGCACGCGGCCTTCCGCGTTCACCTTCGCGGAACCGGTCGGCACCGTGAGTTGACAGGTCAGGAAGTGCCTCCACGCTCTGCACCAGCCTGTATTAATTGCGTTACACACAACATACCGCTAATGGTTGCCTCATACTAACTGGGCAAGAACGAAATGATGTGGGAGAGGTTTTATGATATTTCAAAGGGAGGCGCTTTACTGTTCGAAGCTAGGTCGGGCTGCCATAGAACACATGATCATAAAGCAAGATTCAATAAAGAGGAGGAACAATGTGCATGCTGTGGAGGAGATGAGGAAATTATGAAAGATGTTCTGATTCAATGTGGCGATAATCACCTGCGTATACGTGTGGGTACAAGCTTACGTGAGGCCTTGAGATTTAGGGACAATATGGAAAGCTGAACACATCTGTGATAGAAACAAGAGACAGTAAGAGAAAGTAAGAAAATTAGAGATAAAGGACAGAAATAGTGGGGGAAAATGAGGTCATTCTGCCATAAGAGGGAGAGAGATGGACCATTAATTCATTTTTTTTTGTGATAATAACATTGATATTGTGAGGAACTGGTTTATTCCGCCAGGCTCTAGCTAAACCACGCTAGTGATATTTTTAGATGAAGAAGATGTACAGGTGATGATGATATCAAAGAGAATAAAGAGTCATTCGCTTGTCGCGCTCACACTGATTCCCCCGCGCGGTGAAAGCGGCCTGCCTGGTCGCTTAACAGTATTATGAAACGCGTCGCGCAAAAGGCTTTAAACGAGATGCGTGCACTATCTCTATTCCTCGGCAACGATGATCAGGACTAGCGCTAAGAGGAGAAACGCGGTAATTGACAGGAGATGTCTGTTCGACCACCGTGTACGGCCCAATGAAGCGACTGATGACTTTGTCGCATAGGCTGGGGACGCGTAGTGGGGTCCATAGAAGAACTTCGTCACCAGGGGAAAAACTCGCAACACGGCGAGACGAGTCGTAGCGAGATTTTCGGGTGTCTTGAGAGAGGCCGGTGTTAACACGGGCCTGGTGACGGCACTGTGCGAGACGAGATAGGAATTCTTCAGAGAAAGGAGCCGTCGAGGGTGCAGGGGCCAAAAGGAAGAGACATCCAGAGCGAAACTCGGCGAGCGACCATGGACGAGAAAAAATGGAGAAGAGCCGGTAGTGCGTTGAGCAGCCGTATTATAGGCGAATGTCACGAATGGTAGAATTGCATCCCAGTTCGTGTGGTTGGGGTGAATGTACATGGCGATCATGTCCGATAGGGTCCGATAGGGTCCGATGAAACCGTTCAGTCAATCCGTTGGTCTGCGGGTGGTAGCTAGAAGTGGTCTTGTGAACAGTGTTCGAGGCACGCAAAACTTGCTCGACAATGGAAGATAGGAAGACTTTGCCACGATCACTGAGGAGAATGCGTGGAGCTCCATGACGCAAAAAGATGTGGCGAAGAAAGAAATCGGCGATCTCGGTGGCAGTCCCAGATGGTATAGAAGCTGTTTCTGCGTAGCGGGTAAGGTGGTCGACGGCCGTGACAATCCAGCGATTCCCATTGGATGATATAGGGAGAGGGCCATACAAGTCGATTCCAACGACTTCAAAAGGCGAGGCGGAACAAGGAAGAGGTTGCATTAAGCCAGCCGGAGCAGTTGTCGGTCATTTTCGCCGTTGGCAATGGACACAGGAGGCGACGTACTTAGCGACGGCTGAAGAGAGGCCAGGCCAGAAACAACGACTTCGTATTTTGTCGTAAGTCTTGTGATAGCCTAGATGAGCGGCGGTTGGATCATCATGAAAGGCTTCAAGAACTTCACGTTGCAGAGAACGTGGGATGATGGGTACCCACTTGTTGCCATCGATGTGGTAAATGTAGCGATATAAAGCATCACCGACAAGCTTAAATTGTTAAGTTGTCGACGGAGTCTGGCGTTTGGAGGAGGAGTAGAGCCGGTCAAGTGGTCAACGATGGTGCGGCAGTATGGGTCGACACGTTGTTGTGAAACAAGGACGGATAAGGTGGCAGGTGATGAACTTAGCGCTGCGATTGGAGAGGTGCTGTCGTTTTGGAGTATCGATGGTGTGTGGCTTCCGCTGGGCAAAGGGCAGCGCGATAGAGCATCAGCATCTTGATGCTTCTTCCCAGATCTGTAGGCGACATCGAAATCATACTCCTGCAAGCGAAGCGCCCAGCGACCGAAACGACCCGTTAAGTTTTTCAGCGATGAAAGCCAGCATAGGGCGTTATGGTCGGTCACGACGGTAAAATGACGGCCGTGAAGATATGGTCGGAATCTTTGCACTGCCCAAACAACAGCAAGGCACTCCTGCTCGGTTATAGTGTAGTTCTTTTCTGGAGCGGTAAGTGCACGACTTGCGTAAGCAACGACGCGTTCGCGTGAGTTTTTAATTGTCACGCT